TTCAGTGAATAGTCACAGTATTTGCATTTCACTCTGTGTCCATTATTTCTTGAATTTGCAGAAACTAAAATTGCCACTTAATGTTTTTTTTCACATGTGGGTTTAGGATTTGTGTATTGTAAGACTCTGAGGTTCAAACATGTCTTTCATGAATTCTGTTTCAGATGCTTTAATAGGGAATGGCAAAATAGGTAATTTTCTGGTGGTTGAAACCTCTCATGAGGAAAATTTTTTATTTAAACTAATGCATACTTCATTTGCTTCTCTTTACCTATCCAAACAGCAGATTTTACATTTTGGATTTAATTACTTCTTTGTCCTGAAAAAGGACTGCATGAAATAGGAAGCCCCTCTCAGTTTGATAACTTGTCACTGGTTAACTAAGGTCATCACTGTTTTATAAAGCAATAACCAGTGATTATTTATAACCAGTGATTGAATGACTATACAGATTCACTTATATCATTACTGTCACATGCTACATTGCTTATGATAAGCCTGGTAATATTTAAGGTATTGCCTCTTCTGGGCTATTTTTTTTTTTTCTTTTTAGCACAGTTTCTAGGTGCTGTCACAAACCTTAATTGTTTGATAGGTAAATTCTTAATTCTTTTTTCAAAATGTTCATTTCCATTAAAATGCTATTTAACATTAGACATTAACTTTGACAGATGTTAAGACTGCATCTCAATTAGGTAAAATGGATTCTTGGGAAGGCACCAATTTGAATTGGGTTGAATTTGGTTTGTGAACTGCACTGTTGTTTAAACTTTGCCTGGTTTAAACAAGAGGCATGATAGAGCAGCACACTTGTTATGAACATAAGTGTTCTTGTTTGTTACTTCCCTAGTAATCTTTAAACTTTAGAAAATGCCTTCCTATTCTAGCAAAGACAATTTAATATTAATTTGCTACAAGAGTCTCTTAACATTTTTTTAGACTGCCTGGAATTTATATTGGCAGCTAAGAGTACTACTTTAGTATAAAATGATTTCTATGCACAATCATAATATTTTAAAATCCTGATTATTCCTGTGGATTTCCAATAGACAAGAAATCTAGTTCTGTTTACCCTTCAGCTATTGAATTATTGTTTATCGTCTTTACACAGAGACACTGCAGGTGTGAGATCAGAATTTCAAAATAAGGTAAACATTTATTTTAAAATTAAAACCATGATCATCTATTTAAAGGTAAAAGCTAAGAGTGGATACTACAAAGAATTTGGATTTGAGTCAGAATATCTGGGTTCTATTTGTAGTTTTATGAGGAATCTCCATACTGATTGCTATCCTTGTCTGTCTTAATTCAGCTGGGTCACTTCATGAAAGTGCCAGCTCTGAACTGTATATTCTAACTGTTCAGTTTTAACATTGTATGTTCTCTATACTAAAAAGAGATTGGCTGAGGGAAGCTGAATCCTCTTGTTTATCAGCCATCTACAAGAGATTGGCAGCTCAGAGGTCAGTTTCTAGCTGCATTTTCATCTTTTTTAATCCCTTAAGTCCTTCCTAGGCTTTCATTGCTAGTTTATTTGCCTAGGAATTTGCATTTACAGACATTGAGGGCTTCCTACCTGTGGAATTTTTCTATGCTCATGAATTTAATGCAAAGTTACTTAGAAATGAATAAAAAATACAAGAATCAGTTTCATGAATGTGTCTATAAAATCAGATTCTATCATGACTGATTTCCCTTTATGATTTCTGAGCTTTGAAATCAGTACATTTGAATCTTGGTGTAATGAAATATCATTGCCGTTTTCTCCCTTATGCATTGTTCTAAATATACTTATTTTCTTAAAGCCTAAAATGATAGATCAACAAAGCACCATATCATGACAAAATCTTGCTAGCTTAATTCTGTTATGCCTGTTAGGTACTTAAAATTTTCATTGATTTGAAATAGGTTAAATTGCACAGGGCTAAAACTAACCTTCCATTGGCTTTCTTGGGAAATAAACAAAATGATAGCTTCTCTTGAAATTAAATTTATGAGAACTACAGTACACGTGTTATTTATTTATATTGAGCCAGGGTCTCACTATGTATTTCAGGTTAGCCTTGAGCTACATATATGGCCTTGAATTCATGGTGATCCTCCTGCCTCAGCCTTCTCAGTGCTGAGATTATAGGCCTCCGTGACTACACTAAGTTTAAATGTATTATTTTAGTGAAAACCTATAGTTGGCTATAAAAAGTGCTTCATTAAAGGAGGTGTAGCACTACAGTCAAAAGGGTAAACAAGCTGATTGTGATGGCACATGCCTATAATTTTAGTTACTTGGAAGGCTGAGGCAGAAGTATCTCAAGTCCAGGATCAGCCTCAGCAACTCAGTGAGATCTTGTCTCAAAATAATGTTTTAAAATGGACTGGAATGTAGCTCAGTAGTACAGCATTTGGCTAGCATGCATGAGGTCCTAGGGATCAATTCCAAGTACCATCAAAAAAGGAGTTAGAAGAGACACATAATAACAAATATTGGTGAGGATGTGTAGAAATTTAAAATCCTCATATACAGTCGGATAGCGATGTAGAATCATGCAGCCATGACCAGTTATTCCACCGGTATGTATCTAATCAAGAGAAATGAAAACCTATGCCCTCACGAAAACTCACATGTAAACATTCACAGCAGCATCATTCATAATAGCTAAAATATGGAAATAGTCTATACAGTCAATTAGGCAATAGAAAGGACAAAATACTGATACATTCTACAGTATGGATGAAACCTAAAAACATACACTAATTGAAAGAAGCCATACACAAGAGGCAAAACTATTATTTGATTCCACTTCTATAAAATTTCCAGAATAGGGAAATCTATAGAAACAGAAAAGTTAGATTAATGATTATCAGGAACTTGGAGGTGAAAGGAAAGAGCAGTGATTGCTAATGGGTTTGAGAATTATTTTTAAGGTTATAAAACATTCTAATATTCTAATATTAGTTTATTTCTAATATTATACAACTTTTTGGATATATTAACCATTAAACTATTTTCTCTCAAGGGGTGAATTTAGTAGTATGTGAATTAAATCTTAATGAGACTATTCTATATTAATACATCAGTTCCTGTATTACTATAACAGGAATTATGAAAATATATGTAAATTGTATTTTATGCCAGGGACTGGGGAAGGGGAGGCCTGGGGAGTCAGTGCCACATGGTATAGTTTCAGTTGGGAAATATACAAAATTCTGGAGCTAGATGATGCTTATGGTTGCACAAGTGTATGAATGTACTTAATCCTAAATAATCATATATTTTAAATGTTGTTTTATGTATATATTAATAACAATCCATAACACAAAACTACATTTATATTATTCTAACATGCATGCCCTTGACTTTTCCCTTTTCTTTTTAGTGGGAAAATTGAAAATGTGATTGGTCTTTCATTTTTTATGCCTGGGGCTCTTCTTGATTATGTTTTAGAATTGTGTGTGTGTGTGTGTGTGTGTGTGTGTGTGTGTGTGTGTGTGTGTATAAGGGAGGTGGTTGTACTGTGTCTTTATCTTGGCTTTGAATGAAAACATGAAAGTATGTTTTAAAACTGTATTTTCCAGTAGGAGGATAAAAGAAGCCAAACCATAGGGAATTTATGTTGCTAAATTATAAAATAGTGAAATGATGTTTTCAGAGTGTGCGTTGTCACAATTTCCTGGTTTTCTTAGTTAATCTTAGCCTTTTGAATGGGGAAGACATTTGCTTTAAAAATATATAATATTGTTATATCCTCCTAGCAGCCTTTTCCTTTGTAGAGCAGGATATAGTAAACACCAAAATGCACTGAAAATGCAAACACAGTAGGTAAGTACAAAGGAAAGGATGGAAAATTAGGAAAATCAACAATAATAAGTTACTGAAAAGGCAATTAAATTACATCCAAAGGCTGTAAAACTGTTATGATCTAAGCAGTTGGTCTAAGTTTCTAACCTCTAAGGATTAATCTGTGAAAATATTTTCTAAGCCTAGATGCTATTTAGGACTTTTGAAGATGAATGACCTGAATGCCCATAGTGCCATTAATATAGTGGACAATCAGAGTTGTATTTTTCTTGATCAGGAAGTGTTTTATTATAACAGTATAAGGAATGCACAATGCCTCTGTGTGTGTGTGTGTGTGTGTGTGTGTGTGTGTGTGTGAGAGAGAGAGAGAGAGAGAGAGAGAGAGAGAGAGAGAGAGAGAAATTGTCTGTTCCACTGTTGCAGGAAGAATCAGGGCATTCCAAAACTTTTGTCCTTTAGAGCACATTTTTTCCAGACTTTGGCTTTGTGATATACTACACAGTACTTAAATAAAGAATCCAATCAGAGTTGATGTACTCAGAAATCCATTGATGGATTAATGGTCTTATAATCATACTTTTTTAGATTAGTCCTATTTCCTGTAGTTTCACAATTTTTGAGTCATATCTTGGGTTGGACTTTATGGAAGCCACATACTCCTTGTATTTTTAGTTTATAATTTGAATGATTTCATGCTCTTTGATTTTTTTTTTTTTTTTTTTTTTGCTTAAAGAAAATGACATTTTGATCTTTTTCTGAATTCTTGGAGTTCTGTGGTAAGTGGCTAGCCTACTGTATAGGTTTTTATTTTAACTATATAATTGTGTATGTATCATCCCAACACTAAATCCAGGGGTCTTCCAACAGGTTTCTGTAAGTCTGGTTTTTATTTTCCTCCAAGTAAAATAAAATATTTTCAGATTCCACAAGTAATACAGAAAGACATCAAGAGATGGCTGAACAAAAAATGTAGTTGATCATTCACCTTGCAATTGAAGTAGTCACAAAAATTGCTGGCAAACAGAATCTATTAGATGAAAATCTAAAATCTGTGGAGACCTTGAGTACATTTGAAGATTTTGGGCATCTTTAATATTTTACTGCTTTTTTTATTCTCTATCCTTTTCCCATGATTTTCTACATTTAATATTAAAAATTTTCCTACACAGTAATTGCTTTAATGTTTTCTTTTTGTTTTCAACAGTGCCCTTAAAGATAGCCGTTTTCCCCCAATGACAAGGGATGAGCTGCCACGGCTTTTCTGCTCAGTGTCTCTGCTTACTAATTTTGAAGATGTCTGTGATTATTTGGACTGGGAGGTAAGAATATAAAAAACGTTAAAATAAAATTGAATGTAATTCCTGAGTAGATATTAGAAGCTAGGCTTAGAAAGTAACTCTTTCAACCCTTTCTCATAAAGTTCACTGTTGAACAATGAGATATGAATAAAGATTTTTTTAAACAATAACCAAAGTTCCATGTATTTTTATAATTCCCTAATTGAATTTGGTCTTTTATTTTTATCCCACTAGCTTAGAAGAGCACCTCATAAAAGCTGTTAATAAGTAGTAAAAAGAACTGACTAGAATACATTTCTCCTATTTCCATTTCAGTGCACTCGTGTTTAACTGCTACCAAGTGATTACAGGGTGTCAGAGGATGGATTTCAGAATTAAGAAACAGAAGTTATCTAAGATAATGTACCACTGAGGGGAATCAGCTCACAGAAAACACAGAATGTTGTTTAACTGAGTTAAATAACGTGAATTCATTCCTGACTACCTTAATCTGAACACTTTTTCTCTAACAAATAAGATTTTTATAGCATTGAAGATGACCCTTTTTAAGGCTTTAAATGTTTACAGCCAACTGCAGCATAAGTGCCATAAGTTTGTCACCACTTACCTAGAGCATCTCTGGCATGATCAAAGAAGCTTCTATTGATGATATTTTTATTTTTTTAGTATATATTCTTAATAAAGTTCAGAATTTTTAACAATGATTTGCTTTAAGGTTGAGAGGAGATAGTCATGTATACATTTATTAAGTTTTACATGCGCATACTTGCCCATATTACTAAGTGCCAGCTGTATGCCAGACACTGTGCTACGTGTACCAAAGTGGTGGAAATGTATTGAAAAAATATAAAGAAACAAATGCTGTGGGACAGAAACAATGGGAATTCAGTGAAGCATGTTTCTTTTCATACTGTATCATTGTGCTATAACATGATTTAATTCTACAGCTGTTTTGGAGAGACCATCACCTTTGATAACTGAAATACTATGCCTTCTAGCCAGATCACTATCTTCACAGATAATTGGACTGGAATTTTATTTTGGTTTTTCCCTGATGCCTGTGAGACTTCAGACAGTTCATTCCACTGCAATTTACTTTTTTCAAATAAAAAATAACACAATTATAAAATTCTTGATATTCATTTGAAAAAATCTTTATTATGTAAATTATTACTCCAGAGCTTTTTAAAAACTTTTCTGCATAGAGTAGGGTAAAAGAGTTCTTTCTGGGTTTTGTGGTAGGATTTGATAAAGTATTACCAGAATATAATATTGTATATTAGGATTTTTGTAAAGAAATAAAACAGTTTAATAATGCTGGTCCTTGAAAAGTTTGAATATGTAAAGCCTTTTGTAGAATTAAAATTTCCTGCCTTATACTTTCTGTAAGTTTGTTGTTCCTATTTGTTTTGTCTTAAAGAAAAAATTTACTGACATTATGGGCATATTTTCCAGTACTTTATTTTTAAATGGCGCCAAGACATGTCACCTTTTTATTTATATTACATATCACAGTATGGATGATTCTTTTACTGATTTAAGGCTTCTGTACCCTCTTTTCTAGCCCAGTTTTTATTTCTGCTTTTTAGATTGCAGCATGCAATATGTGTAGAGGTGGGACGGGAATAATAGGGAATAAAGCCTAACATCTAGAAGATGACCAAGCTACAAAAACCATTTTACTCTTATGGCTGCCATTGACTTGTAGATGTAATTTGGCAGATAAGATGTATGTGATGCTCATGAGCATATATTGTATAAATGTGTGTGCATGTGTATAGCAGAGAAAGGAAACAATCTAATAGGTAGGTGTTAAGCACAAAGTAAATCAGCATCATCTTCAAGTACTGTCATTAACCTTGAAGTTATTGAGTGTTTATGTTCATGAGCTATATTAGTTTTCTGTTAGGAAGGAGGAAAGTAAAGCACTTAAGGATTGGCACTGTATAATCTTTCAGGGGCAATTTATCCTCTTTGTTCACTATCTGCAAGCTTGAATTTCTAGAAGATTCTATATTGTTTATTGGTTTTGCATATGTAATATATAAGAAATTCAGAGCTTAAATATTTTTGTGCTAAGTGATATTTTCCTATTGAAGCAAAAATATATTTATTTGTATTTTTAATGTGCAAGCATTTATAAGTGAATTAGATACTGCTAGAATGGGTAGGATACAAGGGAAACTATTCAGTTAATTTATCATTTTTCAAGTTGGCACAAGAGGAATTTCTCCTTAAAGAGCAAGGGAGAAAATTACATTTTAACTATAAGAATGTGTGTTGCCTTTTAAATATGTACCAGTGTGATTTAAAATGGAATATTATTGTGGGAATGATATTCTAAAAGTTATCATTAATAATTCTGAAACAGCATTGTTACTTTAAGTACAGAATGTGTAAGCGGGATTAAAGTCATTTAAAAATTATATTGATATAATTCTATTCCTACATGTATGCCCAAGTAATTAAAAAAAGTGTTGAAAGAAAAGTTTGTACACAAATGCTCATAGTAGTACTACTCAGAATGATCAAAGGTGGAAACAACTTAAATATTTGTCAATAGATAAATGGATAAAAAAGAAAGTGGTATACAGCTAAATGTTATTCAGCCATAGAAAGAAATGAAGTACTAATGTATGTTACAACATGAATGAACTCTAAGACAAATTCTAAGAGAAAGAAGCCAAACATAAAAGGTCACATGGCATGACTCAATTTACATTAATATCCAGAATGGTTAAATATATAGAGATATATTGTCACAGATTGGGAGAGGGGTGAATAGGAAGTGACTGCTTAATGGGTATAAGGTTTTCATGTAGAGTGATGAAAATGTTCTGAAAGTTTAGATAGTGGCGGTTTCAACCACATTGTGATTGGGTTTAACTGAATTAAATGCTTCAAAATTCTTAAAATGGTAAATTTTGTTATGTATATTTTAACATAAAAATGGAAAATAAGTTTTACATACACACACTGACCATAATAATCATTTACATTTATTAAAGGAAAATTTTAATAATTCAAAAAGTATAAATAAAGAAATGCAAGTCATTCATAATTATACAATTCTGAGAAAATGTCTGTTAATACTTTGGAATATAGTGTTCAAAACTTCCATATATGTAGGTTCTCTAACCACAGATTCAATCAGCTGCAGATCAAAAATATGAAAAAGTTACATGTTTATTGAATATTTATAGACTTTTTTCTTGTCATTATCCTCTAGATACAATACAGTATAACAACTATTTACATAGCATTTATATTCATTATTTTATGTAATCTAGAGATGATTTCAAGTACACAGTTGTCTTAGTTACTTTATGCTCGTCGCTGAGACAAAATACCTGATGCCCAAGTTAGGAAAGGAAAGGTTTACTTCTTACAGTTTTTGGAGGTTTCAGTCCACACTCAGTTGGCTCCCAGGCAGGGGGGCATGGCTGGGCCACCGTTCATGGCGGCCGCCAACAGCAAACCGGAACTGGCAAAGAACAAGACACACCTTCTTCCTGACATTACATCACATCCTGGCTCCACCCCATGGGGGGGGAGCACTGACACCATCAATCCAAGCACTAGACAATGAACCAATCACAAATACACAATGCAAACTCGTAAGGCCTGGCGGACATAGACATAGACCATGACATTCCACCCCTGGCCCCCAGGACTCATGTACATCCTTTATACAAAAGACATTTAGTCCACCTCCAATAGTTGCCAAAGTCCTAACAGTTTCAGCATTGCTGAATAGTCCAAGTCCCAAATCTCCTCCAACATCTATGGCAAACTCTTAACTGTAACCCCCTGTACAAATGAAACAAGGTTAAACATTTCTGAAATGCAAAGGCACAAGATAAACATTACCATTCCAAAAGTTACAAACAGGGGAATATAAAGCATTGGAAACAAAGCAAGTCCAACATCTAGCAGGACAAACATTAAGTCCTAGAGTTCCATGCTCAGCATCTGAAGCAATCTGGTTACAAGCTCCAAAAGGCTTGGGTGATTCCACCCCCAGGGCACTTCCAGTGATTTCAACTCCCGCAGCTTTTCTCTTAAATCTTTTCTGCTCGCTTTTTGCAGCTTCCCTTGGAGCATCCACATTCCTGGCTTTTCCAAACTTCTGGGGTCTCCGCTGCACCTTTGGCTTCACACTTACATCTTCACAAATTTCCCTCTCAGGGGCACAGTGCTTGGCCTCCCAGGCCCTTTGCAATCGAGATGGAAGCCGTCTTACCCTCAGAATTCGTGCATTTTCCTTGCACCTAAAATCAGCACCATGTGGATGCCGCCCAGGTCTGCTGCCAGCTGAAGCAGTAGCCAGGCTTTTCTCTGTCTTGGCTGTAGGGGTCAGTTGCCTAGATCGCAGGGCTCTGTTTGCCTAATTGTGAGAAAAAGCTTCTCTACATTGCCGCCATTCTGGAACCTCATGTGGCCTCTGTCGCCATTCTGGAACCTCATGTGGCCATTTTCGTCATTCTGAAATATGGCACTCTGCAGCTTTTCCCTCTGAGCAAATTTTTTCACCTTTGTAGTGAGGCTGCATAAGGTGGGGACCCGCTTCCTGGGATGCCCTGGGGCCATCTTTCTTATCTCTCTTTTTCCCCTCAGGAATCAAAATCTCAACTCTGTCTTTACAATCCACAGCCTTTCTCGAATTTTCCTTCTGGCCAATCTCACAGTATTTAAAATTATCCTGCTGGGCTCTTTGTTCTTGATTTGAAACATAAAGCTCGCTAAAAGCCGCCAACAATAGCCATGCCACAGGCTCAACATTCGATTGCTTTTTAATTTCCTTTTCAAGATTAATCAGTCCATTGCCCTTTGTCTTAGTCTCAGGCAAAGTCTCTGGGCATGAGCAAAAAGCAGACAAAATTTCTACCAAGCCATAACATGCATCATGTGGAGTCCAACAACCAATACAATCCTTCTTCCCAGCAGAAACCTCCCAAGCCTGGTCTTTACCATCAGGCTTTCTATCAGCCTTCTGGTCTCCTGAGCTCTGACCAGAATCT